TTTTTTTTTGAAAAAGGAAACATTTAAGATTATTCCATTAAAGCAAGAATTTCGATTCCCTTTGGCGCGCACGAATTCTATCTATCGGCGCATTCCACACTCCCATTAAACTGCAGCTTCCGAATTGTTCAAAACGTTAATTAACGTTTCTCAGTTTCACAGAAGAAACAACTTTAAACACCTGTTATTTTCATAGCCGATAGCTTCCGCTCATATAGATTATACCTAAGATCATTCAAATTTACTACATATTCTCTCTTTCATTTTTTTTGGAACTCGTTATGGATTTTAATTCAACGAAAGTTTCACACACATTTCTGTTTCACAACGCACATTATATTTTCCATTCACATCTTATTAATTATCAGAATTAACAAAAGTATAATGATTTCAGCAAGAAACAGCAAATGATTAATAGTATTTGTACTATTAATTATTATTTTCAAATATTTTTTTAATAACTTATTAAATTGAATTTTTGAATCTTAGTTGAACACAACTAAAGGAATCTTAAATGAACTCTAAAGGCAAAAAATGTGGAAAACTTAAATTTTTAAATGATTAGCAATTAAAAATATCTTCCAATAAAATTTCTAAAATCAAAAAGAAAATAAGTTCAAAATGTAAATGTTTAAATTTTTAATGAACCAACATTTATATTCCTTAGAACAGACATTATGAGTATTTTAACATTAAAATTATTGAGTAGTATTTACATAAAGTTTAAAAAACTTAGTTCTTAAATATGTTCTATTTGAGTACTTACTAAATATTGGGAATAGTTAGGTTCTTTAGAAATCAAAGTTGAAATAATATTTTATTAGTAAAACAAAGATATTTCAATTCGAAGGTAATGTGAGAATTTGGGTAGTATTATTTATATGCTGGGAGGTAGGAAGAGGTAGTGGAAGGCACGATTAAGGTGATGTAATTGTGTAGAAGCTGTCGCTTAGAGTCTCATGATTTCATGCCCGGAGGATGCGAATGAAAGAATATCTTTATCTAAGCAGATCAGAATCGTGATGTTTAAGATGCCCTCCGGGCTGATCTTTCGCTTTTGCACACAGCAAGGCAACATTTTCGGGGTTGCAGTTATTCCTCTCGTTTTCCTCCATCCGCTCGCCTCTTTGCTTTTGTTGCTTCGTCGTCCTTTCTTTTTCTTTTTTTTTGCTCTTCTTTTATTTGGAGCACACGTTGCGTTCTGTGTGTGTGTGTGTATGTATGTGTACAAGTGTGTGTGGATATGAGAGGTGCTGTTGACCTCAGAGCATAGAGGAGGCGCAGATTAACAGGTAAACCGATTAAAGTCGGGCACTTGTTCGCATGTATGAGAACACACATAGCCATAGCCGCGTGGAAGAAACGGCGGTCCGTCGACCCTGATAAATAAATTCTCTCTCCTCCATCTCTTTTTCCTTCTTCTTCATCTTCTGGTGCTGCTGCTTCGCTCCCTTCAACGACCAAAGACACACACACCAAAGAGGAAGCCGAAGAATCCACAGTCCAAACCAGCATCAGAAGACAAAAAAACAAATCTATAACTGCAGCAAACGAAACATACAGAAAATATCTAATCTCGGACGAATACAAAAAAAAAAGTATAAAATAAAAGAAGCAGCAGTTGAGGAGAATCAAAGAAGAGAAAGCCATTTTTACCATCTCGTCCGGTTTTTACCTTTGCCGCTTTTATTTTCGTATTTACTTATTTTCTTTTTCGGTTAGTATGCGTGTCGGGTCAGGATAATCAATTTATTATCCGAGTGCAAATAATTCTAATTACTAGTCATGTGAGACGAGTGTAGGTCTATGAATATGCAATGAACTTGAATCTATTGCGATCGTCAGGCAATAACTATTAGCGCTCGCGCGCACTCTCATCCATGCCCATACCTCTCCTCATCCTCATCCTCATCCACCATATACCTTCTCCATACCGTACCGTACATACAACGACATCAACGCAACCGACACACGATGTGGCCTTTAAAAGAAGAACTGGCTCGCGCTTTTCGATTGCGATCTCAAATTTCATATGTACGCAACAACCATCTCAACAACAAACAACAACAACAACGACGGCGGCAAAGCCAAGAAAACGACGGCCCGCCTCGGCCTCCGGTTCTCTCTTGCAACACCAAATTTGGTAACCCGCCAATCATCCGTCCATTCATACACCTTGCGGATTTTCGCAAAGCTGAAACTCTCTCGTTACGCAACAACAAAAGGCCCACGTACACATATTCATCAAACTAACACAACAGCAACATCAGCAACAACAACGACAAAAAAAAAACTTACTTATTTGATAGACACGTACAGGCAACGATCGAAACCAAAATCACCGTATTTGGAAATGCGAAAGCCACTCAAATCCACAACAATTTCAATTTAACTCACTCAAAATGTTTCTCTATATAAATAT